TTTTTTTTTTTTTTTTAAAGATTTTATTTATTCATTTTTTTCCCCCCAAAGCCCCAGTAGACAGTTGTATGTCATAGGTTCACATCCTTCCAGTTGCCATACGTGGGACTCGGCCCCAGGGTGGACGGAGAAGTGGTGCCTTGGGGCGTGCCCGGGATCCGAACCCGGGCCGCCAGCACCAGAGCGCACGCACTTAACCGTCAAGCCACGGAGCCGGCCCTCTCGGTTTGTTTTAATTTGCATTTCCCTGCTTACCATTGAGAATGATCTTCTTTCCATATGTTTTTGGCTATTTGTATCATTTCCAAAGTTCCTTTTCTCATCCTTTGCCCATTGTTCTATTGGTTTATTTTTCAAGAATTGATTTGAAGGAATAATATACTTGAATATATTATGGAAACAAACTCTGTGTTAAATATATTGCAGTTATTTCCTCCTGATCTGTAACTTGTTTTTCCATTTTGTTTAATGGTCTTTAGATACAAATTTGGAGGGAAGGATCAGCACAAGTAGAACTTTTGGAATTGGATCTACTTAATGTGAAATAGCATGTATTTTGTGTTCCTTGTGGTGCTAGGTTGTAGGTTGCTTATTCTGCTGTTTTATTTTATTGTTTTTGTGTGAGGAAGATCAGCCCTGAGCTAATATCCTTGCCAATCCTCCTCTTTTCGCTGAGGAAGACCGGCTCTGAGCTAACATCTATTGCCAATCCTCCTTTTTTTTTCCCCAAAGCCCCAGTAGATCGTTGTATGTCATAGTTGCACATCCTTCTAGTTGCTGTATGTGGGACGCAGCCTCAGCATGGCCCGAGAAGCAGTGCATTGGTGCGCGCCCGGGATCCAAACCCGGCCAGCCAGTAGTGGAGCGCGCGCACTTAACCGCTAAGCCACGGGGCCGGGCCCTGCTGTTTTATTTTTATGTAAAATTTTCTTGCTGTGTTTTGAGGCCTATGTTCTGAATTAACATATTTTATTGAACCTAAATTGTTATCAGTTATAAGACACCATTATTTTATGTACCGCTAAGAAGGAAAATGACACCAGCAATCAAACTATGACACAGTGCTTTCTGATCACACTGATAGTAGAAGCATTCTGATTTCAGAGGTATTAAAATATGGAAAAAATGAACAAGCACAAGGATTAAGCAGATTACCCATTCATAGAACGTTACTGAAAGCCCTATTAGTTGGGGTTTTTGATATGTATCTCTGTGTTGTGGTTTAAGGTTCCCCTTTATAAACCAGACTAGGGAAAACAGTCCCACTTGCACAGTTATCCTGCCAAATAGTCTGTGCCGTGTGGTTGTTTTTCCCCACAGTTTGAGAATTTTGTAAAACCTTATTAATTCAGAGTTTACAGATTTGAAATTTTAATAATATGAGACTTTTTAAGTAAATGAATATGAACAAGATAATGAGATCACTTAACAGAACTGATTGTACCTAATTTTCCTAATTTCAAAAACTTAAACTCAGATATAATTCTAATTATTAAGAGCTGGAAAGTATCTTAAAATATCATCATCTTGTATATGAGGAAACTGATACGCAGAGAGCTAAGGGCCAAGTTCATTAGGTGAGTCATTGGCAGAGCGTAGGCTGGACTGCAGATGTTTATTTACATGTACACAATTAATGAGCTATCCACAAATGCGTTCATTCTTTATGAGAGCTTTATGCCAGAAACACGTTAACTGTTTCCTTTTACTCTGTGTAGAAAGAAATAAAACTTCATTCCTTTTATGATGTTCTGAGATTGAAATGTTGGCTAACGTAACTTCAATTTAACATGATCAAATCATACTCTAGAAGAGGGAGAGAAAGAGTGGCATTTGTCTTTTTTTTAAATAATTTTATTTATGTATTTATTTTCCCCCCAAAGCCCCAGTAAATAGTTGTATGTCATAGCTGCACATCCTTCTAGTTGCTGTATGTGGGATGCGGCCTCAGCATGGCCCGAGAAGCAGTGCGTCGGTGCGCGCCCGGGATCCGAACCCGGGCCGCCAGCAGCGGAGCGCATGCACTTAACCGCTAAGCCACAGGGCTGGCCCGAGTGGTATTTGTCTTGAAGTTACTGGTAGTAGTGAGTGGGTTGCCAATCCTAGCCGAGGTCTGATTTTTATCTTTCAAATGACTCCGTTTAGAACAAAGAAGGAAAAAAACAGCATTTGAAATGGCACCCATGTTGCTAGGTATTGATTTCCTGTGGAAGGATTTTTTCGTTACTGAAGATCTAACAGATTTCTATGATAGTTCTTGTTCAGTTCTGCGTATCAACCCTTGATATGCTCAGAGCATATCGCCAAGACTGTAGTGTCTGAGCGACACGAACTAGAAAAAAGAAGCAATCCCTACCCTTGGTCATTCTTTTAGCTGTGGAAATTAAAACATACATGAATCAGCAGTAGAACAACTTGGGCTCTACACCAGCTTTAGTGCAGAGAGGATTCAGAGGAAGAACATCTTCATGTGAATGCAAGTTTGTAGTTCATCATGCTCCCTAAATTATGAGATGTGACCTCGTTTCTTTTTTTTTATTATTTTATTTTATTTATTTTATTTTCTATTATATTTAATTTAATTTTGATTTAATTTAATTTAATGTAATTTAGTTTAATTTTTTGAGGAAGATCAGCCCTGAGCTACCATCCATTGTCAATCCTCCTCTTTTTGCTGAGGAAGGTTGACCCTGGGCTAATATCCGTGCCCATCTTTCCCTACTTTATATGTGGGATGCCTGCCACAGCATGGCTTGACAAGTGGTGCATAGGTCTGCACCCTGGATCTGAACCTGCGAACCTCAGGCCACCAAAGCGGAGTGTGCGAACCCAACCACCACGCCACTGGGCGGGCCCCAGGTGTCACCTCATTTCCTGTAGTTTCTTTTGCTTATTCAGTGATCTCCTCGTAGAGTAAGTCTCTTCCTTGGGCTGATTTCTTTTATTCAGTTTTCAAAAAGTATTAAAGAGCTTTCCTGTCTCCCTCAAACCTGCCACCTTACGCCTCTCTTCAGTCCAAAGTTTATCAGAAGAATAGTTGCTGTCAACTAAGGATGTTTCTATTTCCATTCTGTTCTGTACCCTCACCCCCTTAGTTGTATACCTGCCTCTACCATTTTACTGAAAATGGCCACAGAAAAGTCGTTGATGATCATCTGTTTGCCACCTCTTTTGGCGCGCTTTTGCCCCTCGTCCCTCTGAACCTCTGTTCTTCAGTGTCTCATCTCAAAACCCGTTTGTCACAGTTGCTGTGAGGGCTGACTGAGGTAGAGGCTGTGACCCAGCGCGGGTGGAGCCTGGCACGTAGTGAGCACTCCCTGCTGGTTGTTGTTGAGGGCCTTCCATAACGTTGACCCCTTGTCCTTGTCCTCGTCAGCACTCTTGTGGAGTCACACGCCCTCTTTCTGTCCTTCTCCTGGGTCTTGGGCAGCTCTTCACCAAGGTCCTTCACTTACTTGCCACCTTTTACCCATCCCTTAAGGCTTTGCACTGGGTCTGCTTTTCTTCTTGCCTCTTACCCATTTCCCAGCCATTCCTGTTCAACTCCTCATTGAACACTCTCCAGTTACATCTCTAACCTGGACCTCTGATGAGCTTCAAACCCACATTCCCAACTGCCTGTCACATACTTGCGTGTGACCGTCACACAGACGCCTCACACTCTGTGTCCAGAGCTAACCTTGCTTTCCCGTTCAGCCTTCTCTGCCTCTGTCGAACCTCCCTCCTGTATTCCTTATTTGAATTAAAAACATCACCTCCCACCTTATCAGGCAAACCTAAGTCGTCTTTGTCTCTTCCTTTTTCCTCACCCTTTACATGGAATCACTTGTTTAGTGCTTTTGATTCTATCTACAACATTGTACTTAAATTGGGCTTTTCCTTTTGTTCTTTTTTTGGAGGAAGATTGGCCCTGTGCTGACATCTGTTGCCAGTCTTCAGGTTATTTGTTCCTTTTTTCTCCCCAGAGCCCCAGTACATAGTTGTGTATCATAGTTGTAGAGTTGTAGCTCTTCTATATGGGACGCCACCTCAGCATGGCTTGATGAGCAGTGAGCACGTCCCCACCTAGGATCCGAACCAGCGAACCAAGGGGCCCCAAAGCAAAATGTACGAACTTACCCACTGTGCCACTGGGCCGGCCCCAGGCTTTTCCTTTTTATTTAGTATGTTCCTGCCTTATTTCACCCATCTCTCACCTGCTTATTGTAATCAAATCACCACAAACTCTTCACTTTTATTCCTCTTTACTCTCTTCAAAATTATTATTAGAATTCCCTTTCCAAAACACAAATCTCGTCAGAAAAACCTTTCATGGCTTTCCGTTGGCTAAAGAACATATTATAAATTCCTCATGACTTGGCTGTCAGAGTACTTCATTAGCATCTTACTCTCTTCTTATTCCCTGTGAGGGAGTGTAACTCAGATTTGCTGTTTGTTCAACCCTGGTTTTGGTGAGAGAAATTGTACTTATGAGAGATATGCTTTAGGCCCTGCCTTCCATCCATTCCTAAAAATCTGTCTCTAGATGAAGCCAGAGCAACTGAAGACTGTATTGTATCCCCCATCTCACATTAATGCCGTGAGTCTGTTTCAACACATACGTACTCTGTCTTGCCCAGGCTCCCTGCTGTTGGACTGCTCGCCTTGTCTAAACATGTCACACTATTTGTACCTGTCTGCTCTCACTCATACCATTTCTTCCCTGTAGAATTTCATGAACCTATATCTCTGCTTATTAACGTCCTCTTCACAGGGCTTTCCCGGAATGTTACGTCCTCCCTGAACTCTCCCTCATTCCTCAATCGGAGTTCATAATACCTTCCATTGTATTGCTGTGGTGCTTTCTTTACACTTAATACCTTCCATTGTATTGCTGTGGTGCTTTCTTTACACTTATTATTATGCTGCACGAAATTTGTCTTATTTGTTTCTTGGGGCCAGCTCAGTGGCGTTGTGGTTAAGTTCGCACGCTCCGCTTTGGCGGCCTGGGGTTCACAGGTTCGGATCCTGGGCTCGAACCTACGTATCACTTATCAAGCCATGCTGTGGCAGGAAGTCACATACAGTGGAGGAAGATGGGCGCGGATGTTAGCCCAGGGCCAGTCCTCCTCAGCAAAAAGAGGAGGATTGGCAATGGATGTTAGCTCAGGGCTGATCTTCCTCACACACAAAAAATTGTCTTATCTGTTTCTCAATAGGTTGCAGGCTGCCTGAGGACAAAGTTTGTATTTATCTTCCTGACATCTTTCATGTATTAGACATTTAGTAATTGTAGTTTTATATATATATTGCTGTCAAAATGTGTAATACTTTCCCTCTAACCACTGAAATGACTTGTGTAAGCATTATTGTCCTCGATGTCACATGTCTTGTTCACCACTCATCCTGTGTCTGGTTCTTACTAGATCTGAATAATGTGGCAGCTACAGCTCGGGTCCTAGTCATTGGAGCTACTAACCGACCAGACTCGTTAGACCCTGCTCTGAGACGTGCAGGAAGGTTCGACCGAGAAATATGCTTGGGTATCCCAGATGAAGCATCCAGAGAAAGGTATCCTCTTATAGAATGAAGTTTATGTGCCACCGCGTCATCTGAACTGAGTGCTTTGGAAATGGGGGGTGAGAGTACGTGTAGCCTTTTCTTTCTCTCGTTCGTTCTTCTTCAGCTGTTGTATTCATAGTGATCTATAGTATGCTAATTGCAATTCCACATATATAGTCTTTATTTTATTTCTTTATTTTTTTATTTTTTGTGAGGACGATTAGCCCTGAGCTAACACCTGTTCCCAATCCTCCTCTTTTTGCTGAGGAAGACTGGCCCTGAGCTAACATCCATGCCCATCTTCCTCTACTTTATATGTGGGACGCCTGTTACAGCATGGCTTGATTAGTGGTGTGTAGGTCCTCGCATCTGGAATCCAAGCCTGTGAACCCGGGGCTGCCAAAGCAGAGTGCGAAAACTTAACCACTGTGCCACTGGGCCGGCCCTTGCATTTCCACATGTGTAGTCTTTAAGTAGTTACTCAGCCATTCAGGTTTGTTTACTAACGTGTTTATGCCTGCAGCAAAATAATATTATTTAATATTTAAGTTGTTTGTGTTTATTCAGCAAATATGTATTGAGCATATAGTATGTGTCTATACCACTGTGGTAGGTAATATGAGGAATACAAAGAATTATAAGTCCTTGCTTTGAAGATGCTTGCAATATAGGTAAAGAGAAATAAAGCATGTATCCTTTATCAAGCCTTGTTTTGATTAAGTGCCAAAGCTGATGGTAGAGACATGGACACAGTAGAGCCCATCATCCCTACTGGATGAAATCCTGCGTCCATACATCCAGTATTCCATCATCAACAAAGTCCTTAAAGGGCTTTGTAGGTGGCCATATGTTTTTTTTTTTTTTTCTTTTTTTTTGTGAGGTAGATCAGCCCTGAGCTAACATCCATGCCAAGCCTCCTCTTTTTGCTGAGGAAGACTAGCCCTGAGCTAACATCTATTGCCAATCCTCCTCCTTTTTTTCCGTTTTTTCTCCCCAAAGCCCCAGGAGATAGTTGTATGTCGTAGTTGCACATCATGCTAGTTGCTGTATGTGGGACGCGGCCTCAGCATGGCCGGACAAGTGGTGCGTCGGTGCGCGCCTGGGATCCGAACCCAGGCCGCCAGTAGCGGAGTGTGTGCACTCAACCGCTAAGCCACCGGGCCGGCCCCTGTAGTTGGCCATATTTTGAAAAATTTCATGCCTGCAGAAAAGTTGAAAGAATAGCACAATAAATACCTGTATTTAGCCCTGCAGTTAAATTTACCACTTGTTAACATTTTGCCATGTTTACTTTCTTTTTTTTTTTATAATTTTTTTTTTTTAAACTCATTTATTTATTTTTTTTTTTGTGAGCAAGATCAGCCCTGAGCTAACATCCATGCTAATCCTCCTCTTTTTGCTGAGGAAGACCGGCTCTGAGCTAACATCTATTGCCAATCCTCCTCTTTTTTTTTCCCCCCAAAGCCCCAGTAGATAGTTGTATATCATAGTTGCACATCCTTCTAGTTGCTGTATGGGGGATGTGGCCTCAGCATGGCCTGACAAGCGGTGCGTCGGTGCGCGCCAGGGATCCAAACCCAGGCTGCCAGTAGTGGAGCACACGCACTTAACCACTAAGCCATGGGGCCAGCCCGACATGGACATTTTTGAAGTGTCTGGGTAAGTCTTTTGTAGAATACTGCACAATTTAAATTTATCTGATTGTTTCCTCATGATTAGGTTCAGGTTAAACATTTTGGGCAAGAATACTACATAGGTGGTGAGGCGTCCTTCTCAGAACATCATTTCAAGAGGTTCGTAGTGTCAGTGTGTATCATTATTGGTGATGTTAAGTTTGATCACTTGGTTAAGAAATTTGTCCGAGTTCTCTCCTTTCAAGGTACCCTTCTGGGCCTGGCCCAGTGGTGCAGCGGTTAAGTGCACACGCTCTGCTTTGGCAGCCCGGGATTCACAGGTTTGGATCCCGGGCACGCACCAACGCACCGCTTGTCAAGCCATGCTGTGGCGGCATCCCATATAAAGTGGAGGAAGATGGGCACAGATGTTAGCCCCAGGCCGATCTTCCTCGGCAGAAAGAGGAGGATTGGCGTTGGATGTTAGCTCAGGGCTGATCTTCCTGATTAAAAAAAAAAAAAAAAAAGGCACCTTTCTCTTTTGTACTTAATAAATACAATCTAGATATTTCTGTGTCTACAGTTATTTATGACTGCTTTTTGTCAGTTTGTTCAAACTCTATTTTAGATTCAGAGAGTAAGTTCTATAGGCATTCACGTTGGTGTTTTTATGTAGGCCGTGATGGTTAGCTAAGCCAAGGATAGCTAGGGCCAGAATTCCGTCTGAGGCTAAAGAGGGGTATTAAATGTTAACTGTGTTAGGGCCGGCCCCGTGGCTTAGTGGTTAAGTGCTTGCACTCCGCTACTGGCGGCCCCGGTTCAGATCCCGGGCGCACACCGACGCACCGCTTCTCCGGCCATGCTGAGGCCGCATCCCACATACAACAACTAGAAGGATGTGTAACTATGACATACAGCTATCTACTGGGGCTTTGGGGGAAAAAAAGGAGGAGGATTGGCAATAGATGTTAGCTAGAGCTGGTCTTCCTCAGCAAAAAGAGGAGGATTAGCATGGATGTTAGCTCAGGGCTGATCTTCCTCACAAAAAAAAATAAATAAAATAAATTATAAAAAAGAAAAATGTTAACTATGTTTAAGGCCAGTTGAGAATAGCAGAATCAAAGCCTGAAAGAAGATAGTTCTTGAAGATAATTGAGTGAGAATTTTTTAAGGAAGAGTATTTGTGTTTTTTTTAATCATGGTAAAAAACACGTATAAAATTTACCATCTTAACCATTTTTAAGAGCACAGTTCAGTAGTGTTAAGTATGTTCACATTGCAGCAAATCTCTAGAACATTTTCATCTTACAAAACTGAAACTCTATACCTATTAAACACTAATTCCCCCTCCTGAGGAAGAGTGTTTGTGATCAAGTCTATGACAAAGGCAGGACGCAGTTTTCTTATTTTTATACTTTTGTCTAGCTCTGAATGCAGAAGCAAAATAGTTATATTATTGTATGCAAATGTTAATGAGTTAAATTCTAAGATGGGGAAATTATATAAATAGATTTAAGGTACATTGATGTTTGTTCCAGATCAGTAATTCTTAGAAAGTCATGCATTAACTGAGGAAACACTTATATAAGCAGCTGTTGTACACCAAGGAGACACAGTGACTGGCACTTCAGTCACTACCTTGAGTCATCAGAAGTGCGATGAGTAGACCGAGATGGAGTCTTAGGGAGGATATATCAGCTATGGGGGTTCTTAAAAGCCTCTCTGAGAAAGCTGAGACTTGAAGAATAAATAGCAATTAACTGATCACATGATGGTGAGAGTATTCCAGGTAGGAATGGCGTGTGTGAGGGCCCTGAGGTGAGTGAGCGCTCAGTGTGTCCAGGGAATCTGGAAGAACAGCGTGGTTATTGAAGAAGAGATGGGACGTGGAAAGGCTGGGGAGGTGTGAGAAGCCAGTTCATATCCACCTTGTTAAGGATTTTGGACTTCTTGTGTGAGTGGTGGGAAGGAATTAAAGCAATTAAGTTCAGCAGGACGGTGATGGAAACCTTTTTTGAAAAGATCAGTGTAGCTGCCCTTGAAGAGTGAATGACAGGAGAGCAGGGAAGGGTTCTGTTATCCCGGTGAGGGGGCTCTGTGATGGGCAGAGGTGATGGCAGCTGGGTTGAAGGAGGTGGGAGTGTGGATAGAAATAACTGGAGTAGCTGGAGACATTTAGGAAGTAGAATCAATAAGCTGTGCTTATCCGTAGAATGTGTGTGTGGAGAGGTGGGGGCTGTGAGCAAGAAGCAACTATTCCCAGGTTTCTGACGTCAGCATCTGTGCAGATGGTTTTCTGTTGAGGGGATGGGAAATACTGGAGGATAAGCAGATGTTTAGAGGAGGACTTGGGGATAGATGGGAAGATAAGGTCAGTGGAGTTAGGGGGACTTGCAGGAGGTCCAGGTGGAGAGGTCACGTTGGTTATTGGACAAGTGAGTCTGGAGCTCTGAGGAAGTAAAAATTTGAGAATCATCAATCTATTGATGGCAGTTGAAGTTATGAAGATAGATGCGATTGTCCAGAGAGAGTATGAAGAGCGAATGACAGGTCCTGGGACAGGCCCAAAGAGGTTAACAGGCTAAGGATAGGAAAAGAGCAGCCAGAAGTATTGGGAAAATGAAAAGAATGTTGTGTAGTGGAAGCCAAGGGAAGTGGATGTTTCCAGAAGGAGGAATGAGAGGTCATGCAAGGGAGGGCTGAAAATTTGTTTTTTGAATTGAGCAACCTAGAGGTCACTAGTGAACGTAACCAAAAGCTGTTTGAGTTGAACGATAGGGGCAAAATCCAGGTTGGAATGGCTGGGGAGCAAATGGAAAGTGAAGACATGGGAGCAGCAGACTTCCACAGTCCGTTTAGGGGAAGTTTGGCTGTGCAGGAGAAGAAGGAAGGTGGTAGCTACGTGAGGCGGATAATGGGGTGTCAAAAGAGAAGGTTTTTTCAGCATGGGAGAAACTTGAGTGTCTTTAAATGCTGATGGGAAGGAGCAAATGGGAGGAATGGGGGATCAGAGCTTATGTGTAGGTATTGGCCTTAGAATGAGGGATGCTTCCATGGAAACGACAGTAAACAGGAAGAAAGAGTATGAAGGCGAGGAGGCCCATCTGTGGGGTGCTGGCAAATTGAGGGCGTTTCCTCTGTGAATTCAAAGTGAGATCATCTGATGAAAGTGAGGCACACGCTGGATAGGTTAGAGGACTGAGGAGGATGAAAGCCTGAAATTGCTTTCTTGGATAACCTTAGTTGAGCTGGCTGGGATAACAGGAGGATTTTCAGGCAATGTTTAAGATTGGGATATAGAGCCAGTAGGCTGGTTTTATGATTTTTTCCCCCTAGTTTAAAGGCTTCCTGTAAGGATTGAATTAATGTACCCAGCACGATGTCTGACACATAGGAAGAAACATTTTTTTCGAGGTAGCTCTTGCTGTTTTTCTGAGCTTTAAAAGCATTTTATAATGGAAAATCCCAGTGTACACAAAAGGAGTCTAATATAATTTTTCCAGTTTCTATTGCTGCAGAACAAACCACCCCAAATTTAGTGGCTCACAACAACAACAATCGTTGTATTGTCTCTCACGGTTTCTGTGGGTCAAGAGTCCAGAAAGGCCTTCGCTAGCTGGTGCCGTCTCAGGCTCTCGTATGGTTGCCAGGATGGTGGTTGGAGCTGGAACCTTGTGGGGGCTTAGAGCAGCCCGGATGTCTTATCTGTCTGCCTGCCTGTCGATCTGATCTGGCTTATCTGTCTCTCTTCTATCTGTCATCTGATCTGGTCTGTCCCCTCCTCCTTTTTTGTCTTGTCACCTAAAGGCCTCTCCACGTGGCACCCCTTACGGGATAGTCTGGGCGTCCTCAGAGCTGGGCAGCCCTGGGGTGGTAGGATTCAGACATGGCAGCCTGGGGCTGCAGCATGAGGATTGCAGGGAATGGGCTGAAGTGGCCTTGCCTTTTTGACCTAGCCTTGGAAGTCACATGGTTCCAATTCCACTGTACTGTATCAGTTGATGGGTCACTAGGCTCAGGCCAGATTTAAGGGGAGGAGTCATAGACCCTACCTTCCAGTGAGAGGAGTGTCAGGAATTTGTAGATGTGCTCTAAAACTGTCAAAATAATGAACTCCATGTCTTATCACCCAGTTTCAACAGTTATCAACATTTTCAGTCTTGTTTTATTTACCCTTTACTTTTTTTTCCTGGAGTGTTTGAAAGCAAATCCCAGGCATTATATCATTTCAACTATAAGTACTTCAGTATCTAATGGATAAAGACTTTATTAAACATATATGCAATGCCATTATATAGCTAACAAATAATCTTTAATATATCTAATATCGAACCATATTCATATATGTAGTATATAGTTGTGTTATGAATTTTGACTATATCCATATTTAGCATTTTCATTTCTCATCTAGATAAATATTGTTCACTGCTGACCCAAGTCATATATTATGATCGCATTTCCTTTCTTCACCTTTTTAACTTTTCTGGAATACACAGTTGCCATATTTTTTTCATTTGCTAACCCTCTCACAACTTTTTCTGCGTTCTCTGTTTTCTCCACGTCTTTTTTTTCCTATGTGTGCCTATTTGTGTTTGTTTGGGCCTGTCTTATACCTTACATTACAGTGAGAGGCAGTGAGAAATAATATGTAAAGTCAGAACAACAGTACCTGGTCTGCAGTAAGTCTTGATAATTGACAACTGTTATTATTATTTCATGTTGACGGCTTTCCTCAAGCAGCAGTCCTTGGCTGTCCATTCATCTTTTACGAGTGAGACTGGTTAGCCGTCTGCAGTACAGGCTACTTTGTTGAAACATGAGTGCCATGATGAAGCAGGCAGATGACCAGCTAACTTTTTAGCTAGAAAACTCCCAATGTCGCTTTGTGTAGATTGTTTTTGTTGAGTCAGTTCAGATTATTCAGCAGATCTTCAGACAACGCCATGGGGCTCTGTGTGTAGCTGCTGGTCTTCTGACCTGGGCGGAGAAAGGAGCTGAGGGATTGCACATGCTGTACACAGACTTTGGCCCATTTTTCTGACGGAGTTGATCTTAACAGTTGTCCACAAACAGGAGCTTCCCTCCCCTGGTTCTGTTTCACCAGAGAGCACATTCCTGGCATCCTGCTGGTTGAGAGGGTGGAGAATACGTGGGGTCTTAAGACTTCTGAGACAGAGTTTCAGATAATTTCTGTGTTTTCGGCTCCCTGCCGTGGCCCTGATTTCTGTAGTCAGACACTTTGATGCCTCTGGTTCCTGGTGTGTGGAGTTCCACCAGACAAATGTACTTCCTTCTCATTAGTACGCCTCTCTGCAAAGGTTAATTTTGACTTTGTCCCCTCTGCTAGATCATTTACCATTCTCCATCCACTTTCCTCATGAATTGTGGTTTAAGATTACAGATAATCAAATATCTATTAGTATATACTGATATAAATGATGGAAGAAATAAATAAACGGGTGGGAATAGGTGTAGCAGAATTCCAAATAATTTATGTAGATACACTGCGCTTAAGGAGGTGGCGTATCACTCCCTGCTCCTTAAGTGAGAGCTGGGCATAGCAACTTATTTCCAAAGAGTACAGTATGGGAAGGGAGGGAAGAGTAACTTCAAGCACAAGCCCTTTCAAACACTGTCTCAAACCTGGTGATACATCTACAGTGATAAGTTATGTCGATAGTAGGTATCTTTGATGTGATGTGAAGAGAATGACACTTGACCTCTTTGATCTTCTTCCCAAAAACACGTTACCCTAGTCTAATCGTGGTAACAATATCAGACCAATCCCAGATGAGGGATATTCTACAAAATATTGGGCCAGTAATCCTCCAAATTGTCTTTAATAATAGGAGAGGGGTGTGGGGTATATAGAACTCTGTACTGTCTTTGTAATAATTCTGTAAATCTAAAACTGTTCTAAAATAAAAGTTTTATTTTTTAAAAATGAGTTAACTCATCCTCTTTATAGTCAAATATATCATTAAACCTGGATCGTTTATTCTGGGAACCCCATAATATTTGAATCTTTGTAGGGACTTACAGCCCTTAGGGCGCCAGCTAGAGCTGACGCAGAGAGACCCATGTTGGGTAGCCTTACTCTTCTTTGGTAGTACAATATGCATCCATCATAACCCTCAGCTATCTGTTTCCTTCAATATCCCCTATCAGCATGAATACCTCTCTTTATATAGAGCCACCCTAAAGCCTATAGCCTAAGCCTGTTCTGTTCACTTACATGACCCCAAATGAATTTTCTATAACTTATTCTCCATCAGCTTGACATTTGAAAATATTAGTCTCCCTTACAAATTTGGAAATTTCAAAATATATTTCCTTGTCCAAGTTAATTAATATGTCACAATCTGTAAATAATAACAGCTAACACTTCTTGGGCGCTTATGATGGATCAACCACTGTTCTAAGGGCTTTGCATGTATCCATTTACAACAACGTCCCTGTGAGTAAGTGCTATACTTACTATACTATATTTTTAACAGATGAGAAAACTGAAGCCCAGAGGAGAAGTAACTGGTCCGGGTTACTCAAAGAGTAGAAGAGCTGGTACCAGACTCAAGGGGTCTAGCTTCAGACCTTCTGTCCTGAATATCTTTACAGCTTTTAAGTTTTATTCAATAGGTCTTTACAGAAATTGTTGAAGGTGTGCCGTTAATAATAATAATCTAGGTAGTGTAGTGGTTAAGTTCGCACGCTCTGCTTCAGCAGCCTGGGGTTTGCGGGTTCAGATTCCAGGCGTGGACCTACACACCGCTCGTCAAGCCATGCTGTGGTGGCGTCCCATGTACAAAATAGAGGAAGACTGGCACAGGTGTTAGCTCAGTGACAATCTTCCTCAAGCAAAAAGAGGAAGATTGGCAACAGATGTTAGCTCAGGGCCAATCTTCCTCACACGAAAAAAATTATCTAGAAATCCACATTTCATTGACACGTACCACGTTGCCAGTTTAGCTGAGCAGAATTTGTCACACATGCGATATAGGGATGAACAATAGGTAGAGATGAAGTTGGGGAAGTAACTGTCCTTATATAAAATTGGATATGAAAGTGTGTATCACCATTACTTTTTGCGATGAATAGAATTAATGTTTTATTTGAGTTTGGAGGCTTTTATTTCTGGTACCTGTCCATTTAGTCTACACTAAAAGTAGAACTTACCTTATATCCTCATAAATTATTTGTCTTATTTCCTCTCTGATATTGTAAAATTCTTAAAGACAGATTATTTTTAAAAAATCTATTTTGTATTCTTCACAGCATTTAATATAGTTCCTAACAAAGCAGATATTTGTACCTTTATCTTTAATGGGATAAGGTGGGTTATGCAATAGTGATTCAGCATTTGTTGAATGAATGAACGATTTGCTCTTATATTGTACCCATTATAATACCATTGACAGAGAAGAATCAAATAAATATATTTAGTGACTTATTTTTACTGGTAGGTTAGGAACCTGAATTTTTTTCCCTGTCTTTTCTGCAGAATACTTCAAACTTTGTGCAGAAAACTACGACTTCCCGACAGTTTTCATTTTCGCCATTTAGCACACCTAACGCCAGGCTTTGTTGGCGCTGACCTGATGGCACTCTGCCGTGAGGCAGCCGTGTGTGCAGTCAACAGGGTCTTAAGGAAGCTGGAGGAGTGGCAGAAGAAAGATCCTGAGGTTGGAGGATTGCCGTCTGAGGGAGGCCGGGAAGAAAGGATTGGAACTGAGCCCACCTCCAAAACACAGGTGCTTTCTGTACAGGGGCGTTAAACTGTCCTCTGAATGTTTTTAGTTTGTGTTACCTTAATGCAAGCAAGTGTTGATATAGTTGAGGTTTATGATTTTCTTTTTTATTGGCATTTTATCTTCAGAATAATTATCAGTTACACGCAGAATGTCTATAATTTCAAGAGTACAATTGTTTTACTTTTTTAGTTGATTCTGAGTAAATTCATTTTATAGTAGTGATTGTGAAATTCTAGAGCAGGAGTTGGCAAACTATGGCCCATCTGCCCACTGTCTGTTTTTGTAAATTAAAGTTATATTGGAACACAGCTGTGCTCATTTATTACATATTGTCTATTTCTGCTTTTGCTCTTCACAGCAGAATTCACACAGGAATCCTTATAGCAGAGACCATATGGTCCACAAAGCCTGGAGTGTTTACTGTCTAGCCCTTTACGGAAGAAGTTTGCCAACTCCTGTTAGAGCATTGGACGTTTAGTTATATTTCCTGGTTATTTGATTACGGGGACTCGGATAGTCTGCTGACGTAATAACCACGTCCTTGTCCCTAGCTACAGATGGCTCTGGAGGATAGTCCTGTGAATGTGAAAGGGATGTTTATCCATCTAAGATCAGGGTTAAAAATTTAAGTTTTGTGAGTTATGAAAACTCAATATAAATTTATACAGCATTTTATAGTTTGCACAGGGAGCTTCTATAATATAATTTGATCTATATAACTTTGTTAAGTAAATATCATTACCTTCCCCATTTTATAATCAAAGAAGCTAAGCTTAAGAGATTGTGACTTGACCGAGGCCACACAGCCCCTGCTTTCCAGAGCAGGGACTTAGATCCAAGTCTGTTTTCAAATGATTTCTTTTATAATATTGCATATAAATTAGGATTTTATAAATTGAGTTATAACGTTACTTTTTACACCTGTCCTCTCATATTCTTCACAAAGCAAGAAACCTGCCTTTGAAGTTCCAGATTTCAGTAGGACTAAGGAAAATTGCCTGTGTTCTATTTAGGTGGAGAAACCATCAAGGAACCATATAACTTTGGTTTTTTTGTTTTTTTTTTTTAAATTTTATTTATTTAATTTTTTCCCCCAAAGCCCCAGTAGATAGTTGTATGTCATAGCTGCACATCCTTCTAGTTGCTGTATGTGGGACGCGGCCTCAGCATGGACAGAGAAGTGGTGTGTCGGTGCGCGCCCGGGATCTGAACCCGGGCCACCAGCAGCGGAGCTCGCGATCTTAACTGCTAAGCCACGGGCCTGGCCCAGAGTAACTTTGTTTTAATTTCATGAAAATTCAGCTGCTTCTTGAATATCTATAAATGAAAAATGGAAATATGTGGTTGTTGAAATGGATATTTGCCAACTGCTTTGTTTGCTATGGCTAGCCCTCATATAGCATACAGAAACCAAAATCAGTCCTCTGTGCCTGATTGTAGTCAGTGTATGTTTCCTTGACCAAATCAAATGATCCATTTAGAGTAAAATAAATGACTTAACGTTAATGGAGAAAATTATTAAAATACTTAGAAGTTCACGATAGCTTACAGAAATATTGCAGTAATAATTTTTAAAAGTATAAAAAAGTAACGTTTTCAGCAAACTTTGTGGTTTTTCATTTTTTCCCTCAACTGCTTCCTTTAAGGATGAATTGCAGAGGCTGCTGGGGCTGCTAAGAAACCAAGATCCCCTCTCAGAGGAGCAGCTGCAAGGGCTGTGCATTGAATTGAATGATTTCATTGTTGCTCTCTCCTCGGTCCAACCCTCTGCCAAAAGGGAAGGCTTTGTCACTGTCCCTAACGTGACATGGGCAGATATTGGTGCCCTGGAAGATATTAGAGAGGAGCTCACCATGGCAATATTGGTAGGTGTCTTTGCTGCTAAATATTGTTGGCATATGTGATGGGTAAACAACCATGGGTGTGTACCAGGTTATGTGTCTAAATTGACTGTGTTTTCTTTTATATGTTCTGTTGTATTATTATTAAGCCCCCAACAATGGTTTTTCATTCTTTTGAGATCTGTTTTTGATTTATTCTTTTGGTTGTGCTTGATTCTATGAGTTAAAAAAAAAAAATGTAGGTTTCACCAAGACCAAATTGTTTGAGAAATACTTTCTGAACTCAGTCACGCTTGTAAGGGTCAAAGCAGTTTAAATGCCCATGAAACTTTGGATTAATTTTCATTTACTCTTACTTTTCCACTTTACTGATCATTCCATGGTTCATTAATGAAGTGTGATCCGTTTAGAGGTCTGGAACTACTGGAAGAGAAAATACATGGAGGTTACAGTGAACGGGTATCTCTGGCTTTGGACTGTGTAGACTACTGCTGCTTCTGATTTCTTAAAGGAGAGCATTGCCTAACATTTTTAAAGCCTAGAAATTTAGAGCAGGGATTTTAAATTTATTACCATACACCTCATGCTTGGAACAGAGGTAAGCACTCTGTGCCAGGCACTGTTCTCGTCTTCCGGCCTCAGGATTGGTGTTGCAAATATGCATCTGGGGGTAATTTGAATATGCAGTATAAGCTGGACATGTGTAATGGGCTGCTGCTGGGGTTGTTCTTCCAGGCACCTGTCCGTAACCCAGACCAGTTCAAAGCTCTTGGATTGGTGACGCCAGCTGGAGTCCTTCTCGCTGGTCCTCCTGGCTGTGGGAAAACTCTGCTGGCAAAGGTATGTATAAGTTCAGCTGCAGGTGTTTATTTCTTACTATCAGGTAGGATAATGTGAATTTAAATTTTACAGTGAGGGGCCGGCCCCGTGGCTTAGCGGTTAAGTGCGCGCGCTCCACTACTGGCGGCCCGGGTTTGGATCCCGGGGACGCACCGATGCACCGCTTCTCTGGCTATGCTGAGGCCGCGTCCCACATACAGCAACTAGAAGGATGTGCAGCTATGACATACAACTGTCTACTGGGGCTTTGGGGAGAAAAAGGAGGAGGGTTGGCAATAGATGTTAGCTCAGAGCCCGTCTCCCTCAGCAAAAAAAAAGAAGAGGATTAGCATGGATGTTACCTCAGGGTTGATCTTCCTCAGAAAAAAAAAAAAATTTACAGTGAGGGATTTTTGCATAATTTCTGTTAGAAGTTCATTTTAGCAAGACTGACAGTTTTCTTTAGGAAAGTTTCCCCCTTTTATTTTAATGACAAAAAAGTACCTCATTGAACATTTGGAAAAGAAAAAAGTTTTAAATCAGCCGTAACCTCGTCAGTTTCAACACAGCAGTTACCATATTTTCTGTTTATCATGTTTTGGCTTTTTAATGAGTGTTACTGCATAGTTGTGGTTTGTAGCTGACCTTATTTCCTGCTGTGGTTTAGTTATTATTTATAACGTAAGTATTTTCCTCTATGTTCCTTACAGTTGTTATTTTAAAAAATTGTTTTTTGGGTTTTTTTGTTGCTGTTGAGGAAGATCGGCCCTGAGCTAACATCTGTTGCCAGTCCTCCTCTATCTTGTATGTGGGACGCTGCCACCAGGTGTAGGTCCGCACCTGTGAGCCGAACCCGCGAACCCCGGGCCGCCGAGAGCGGAGTGCACAAGCTTAACCACTACGCCACCAGGCCGGCCCCCCAAAAATTGTTTTTTCGCATTAGAAAATATAGATAAGTGAAAGAGAAAAGCATTATTTATAATCCCCTGACTACTACCTACTACTAATCACTGTTTCATTTTGTTGTCAGTCCTTCCGGATATTCTTTTGTACATAGATATCAAGATGATATATATAACTTTTACACATAGCTTTACAAATGGAAGGTTTTTAAACATGCTTTTCTCACTTAGCAATATTTCTTGAACATCTTCACGTCAATATTGTGTATATACATGTCAATATTTTTAATGCCTCCATAGTATTATACCATAAAGATGTTCTATAATTTAGGGAAATGATCCCCTATTAAAACGGCACTGCATTAAATAATCCTGTACTTACATTTTTGTGTTTCAACTGATCATTTTATTAGACTGCATTCCTAAATAATTTTTCAATAAAAGGAATACATGTTTTTAAAGCTTTTGGTCCATTACCATTTGATCAAAATGATCCATTACCAAATTACATTTGATCTGCTACCAAAGTAACAAGGAAGTGGCAAGTTACCAAGTAACAAGGAAGGCACCAAAGTGCCTTCCAAAAAGTTTGTACCGATTTTGAACCCTATCAATAGGGTACAAGTATCCATTTCTTCACACCCTAAATTAGCAGTAGCCCATTAACCTGGTTTTTAATATTTGACAATCTGATAGGTAAAAGTGGTATCTTATAGTTTTTAAGTTGCATTTTAAAAATTACTAGTGGACTTTTTTTCATATGTATATGTTTATTGGCTATTTTTCTTTACGAATTGTCTGTTCCTATCCTTTGCCTGTTTTTCTATTGACATGCGTGTGATTTTCTTTTTTATTTATAATCACTATTCATATGTTAAGCTGTTATATTTGTAAATATGTTTATCAGTTTATTTGGGCCATTTTAATTTTATTGATCATATTTTTGACACATTGCTTTTTGTGTTTTTTTCATATTTATGTGGGCACATTTCCCAGTCTTTTTTGTTTTCCTTTGGAGTCATGGTTATTAGAATGATCTTTGCTATCTGTAAGTTATTAGTCATCATTTTTAATGTCTTTATAATATCCCATATATAATTAATCCTTACCAACTTTTTAAAATATTTAAATTACCTGTAAATAAGAAATTAAAATTAGTAGCATTTTTAGTAAGTACCACAGCAGCCAAATAATTTGTGACTCCTCGCTAAGTATCAGATATCCATGTCATTTGTTCATGTATATATACATATGTACCTGTATATATATACTATATATGTAAATTTTTTAAAACTTATTTTTGCATATATTACTAAATTTGCTTGCTTAACGCTTCCAGTACTCTTACGAGGCATTGCTGTAAAGGAGTTTGGAAACAAAGGAGAGAGAGGAGAACACCACAGTCATTGGTCTACATTTTCCATAACAGTTTTAGAAAGACATAGCCAGAAAGAAGGTCCTGCATGCTAATATGTGAATTCACCAGGTGGATGCAGTTCCCTCAGCTGGGTGCCTTGTAATATTTGTTCTTAATTAGTTATATCTGTTTTTGATTAGTCCTGTTCACAGCACCAAGGAAGTAGTTTGGATAATTTGAAATTCACAGATAATGTTAAAACATCATAGATCAAATTTTTCCTCTTCTCCTCCCACCCTCCAAATTGCCAACAATTTGGTGCCTCTCTGTTCAGTCAGATTTCTGGTATCTGACCATTTGGAGCAGGGAATCTTGCCTAGGACCCCATGGATGACTTCACAGCTCACTGGACCCATGAGCCTAGGCAATATATTATGTATACAGTTACGCATTGCTTACGACAGGGATGCATTCTGAGAAATGGATCACTAGGTGATTTCGTCATTGTGCGAACATCATAGAGTGTACTTACACAAACCTAGATGATATAGCCTACTACACACCTAGGCTGTGTAGTACTAATCCTATGAGACCACCGTCGTGTATGCTGTCCGTCGTTGACCAAAACATCATTATGCAGCGCATGACTGAATATGTATTTTTTCCAGGGAGAATGTTCACCACTTTCATTAGATTCTCCAAGAGGTGCATGACTACATGCCCAAGAATCTAGAAATAATAGAAAACATCTTTGAATGGCAGAAGCAAAGTGTTCCTGTAGTAAAGTCATGGAACCACTTGTCAGTCAGAACCTGGCAACCTAGAACTGGATATAAAATTAAGATTTTGGCTGATCTTGGTTGTTTTGTTTACTCATGGTAACGATAAAATAATACAATTTTCCTAAACACTAGCACATAGTATGTAAATAGCATAAAGTAAAAGCACGCGATTACTGGAACCAACACACTGAAAATTGACGCCTAATAGGAAGGAAACTGAAAAGAGAATAGTAAAATTCATTTAGTTGTCCAAAACTGTATAACATGGAAGCACACAGCTCCTGATACTGAGTACAAGATTCATGGTGATATTGGTGATATCCATGAAAAAAATTAAATTATCTTCACCGTATTTCATTTAGAAGTCAAGACTTGCAACAATTTCAGAAACTATCCGGGGTTTTAATGGGTTAAATCTAATTTATCTGGCATATGGATGTTGAAAACCTAATGTGGATGGGTCATACTTTATTAGATGTGTATCCTGACTCTCCTTTACTTATCATGTTGAGTGAGAGGTAGGAAATTATGAAAGTGGCGGCAGGAAAGACAGATTGAGAGATTTGGATAATCCACATTTTGAGCAATTTTTGCATCGCAAAGTATGCGTGTTTCCATTTGTTCAGCACGTATTTACTGAGCTACTTATTTCTTGCCAGATTTTGTTTGAGGTGCTGGGGATAAACTAGTGAACAGGGTACCTGCTCTAATGGAATTTATTGTCTGTTTGGAAGAGGCAGGCAGTGAAGAAGTAAAACAATAAAATTGCAGATCCAGCCAAGTTATGATGGAAATAAACAGATTGTTGTGATAGACTGATTGGGAGGTGGCTATTTTAGATATGGTGTTTGAGGGATAGTGACATTTAACAGAGTCACATTTAGCTAGCTATGTGAAGAATCTTCCAGACAGTGAACAGCAAGCAGATGCAGAACCCCTGAAGTGGGAAGGGGCTTGGTGAGTTTGAGAAGCAGAGCCAGAGCCAGTGGCTGGCCTAAGGAGAAACTGTCATGTCCAATTGTCCTTTTTTTTTTTTTTTTTTTAAGATTTTATTTATTTATTTTTTCCCCCCAAAGCCCCAGTAGATAGTTGTGTGTCACAGCTGCACATCCTTCTAGTCGCTGTATGTGGGACGCGGCCTCAGCATGGCCGGAGAAGCAGCGCGTCGGTGCGAGCCCGGGATCCGAACCCGGGTCGCCAGCAGTGGAGCGCGCGCACTTAACCACCAAGCCACGGGGCTGGCCCCTCCAATTGTCCTTGAAGATAAATAGGAAACCTAGTAAAATGATATGATCCGATTTACATTTTTAAATGAGTGCTCTGACTGCTGCATGGAGAATGAAACGGAGCGGGGCCGGCCCAGTGGCACAAGTGGTTAAGTGCATGCGCTCTGCTTTGGCGGCCCTGGCTTCGCAGGCCCCAATCCCAGGTACACGCTGATGCACCGCTTGTCAAGCCATGCTGTGGTGGCCTCCCATATAAAGTAGGGGAAGATGGGCACAGATGTTAGCCCAGGGCCAGTCTTCCTCAGCAAAAAGAGGAGGATTGGCATGGATGTTAGCTCAGGGCTGATCTTCCTCACAAAAAAAAAAAAAAAAGAATGGAATAGAGCAAAGCAGGAGTGAAAGGAAACCAGTTAGGGTTTTTTTCTTTTGGTTTGCTTTGGTTTTTTTGCCTGTCCAGGCAGGAGATGATGGTGGTGTGGACGAGGGTGGTGGTATAGTGGAGAAGTAGCATGACACACTCACCTGTATTTCAGCATTAGAGCTGATAGGACTCGTGCATGGACTGGATGACAAGACAAGGGGTCAAGGGAGACACCAAGGGTTTCCCCTAGAAACTCAAAGAGTTTGGGGCATGGGGTTTGCAGGGAGTTGGGAGAGAATCAGGAGTCCTGCTTTGGAAACGATAGATTTGAAATACCTATAAGATGCAAATGGAGATGCTGAGGAGTATGTTGAATATGGATCTGGAGCTCAGACATCAGATCCTAAGGATAGGAGCAAACTATCTCTGATCATTTTGAAGTTCTGAGTGATTTTATTCAGGTTTATCTTTGCACTTAGATTCTAATTCTTGGACTCTTCTACACATATAACCGTATGTTTCTCCTTTGTTATTCTCTTTGGCTTTGAACCATGCTGTTTAATCTTTATTTATTAAAAATAATCTGTAAACACTGACCCTTGGTAAAGACTGATACTGATGTTTTTGAATTTTGGTTTATGAAAGAATGATTGCTTTCATTGGGCAAGGCAATTTTTGATAAGAGATGATTTCACTAGAATTCCAAGCTAGGGCTACATAAATAAGCATGTTTATGTAAACAAAACATTTTCCTTAATGATTTGTGCTCTTTCCATCTGATTTCAGTCTGAGTAATTCTTAGAAAGTTTTAGGTTAACATTTACTTCCTTTGATTTTTTTTTTTAATCCATTTCCCTTTTCCCGTTTGTCTCCTCTCCTTCTAATAGGAAAGAAGCAACTGTAAAAGGGGAAATAGAATATAAACCACAAAAAGTCCTTGTGTTGTCACAAATTATTGTTATTATTTCACTGTATGTTCATCTTATTTGTATCTTTTTGTTTCCTCTTACTAGGCTGTTGCAAATGAGTCTGGACTAAATTTTATATCGGTCAAGGGCCCCGAATTACTAAATATGGTAAGTTCTTGTGGCATTTGCCATTATTTTAGATTAGGAAAAGTAATGATCGTTCAAATCACAGGGTACCTGTCCTCAGATCTGTAAAACAGGCCTGCTACTTTGGTCGGATCACTGCCGTAGGAGTGAAGAGGTTGGGCTCTGCTCTGCTGGACTACTCAGTGTGTGTAAATGCTGCCTTAATGACATCTCTTAACCTCCGAGCCTCAGCTTTCTCACCTGCAAAATGGAAATAATCACAATAGTTAATGTTTTAAAGTATTTACTCCCTGCCATGTGTTTGTCAAGCACTTTACATATCTTATTCTTCACCAACCCTGTGAGATACGAAGTATTGTTTCCTCTGATTTCACAGAGGAGAACACTTCAGTTTGAAGGGGTCTTAGAACGTGGCCAGTCTGGACGGCTAGGAAGTCATATAGCTGGGATTTGAATGTGGGTTGTCTGACTTCTTATCTGCTTTCCTTGTCTTGTTGCTCTGTAGCTCAAATGAGTTAAGTATTAGTAAACAATAATGCTGTGGGGTAAAGAAATCCCTGAAGTACTATATAATAACTTCTTTCAGCACTTACGCAGTTTCTGTCTCACATTTAAGAAACTTTGAATTTCTTTTTTTTGGTTTCGTTTTATTGGTTTGGTTTTATTAGATTGGTTTTTTTGGTGAGGAAGATTGGCCCTGAGCTAACAACTGTTGCCAATCTTCCTCTTTTTGCTTGAGGAAGATTGTTGCTGAGCTAATGTCTATGCCAGTCCTCCTCCATTTTGTATGCGGGGTGCCACCACAGCCTGGCGTGATGAGTGGTGGGTAGGTCTGCACCCGGCATCCGCATCTGCAAACGAAAGCGAAGCATGCGAACTTAACCACTGTGCCACCAGGCCAGCCCCGAGACGTCGAATTTCTTGTTTCCTGTCCATCCCTGTGGAAAGTAAAAATGCCATTCTGTAATATAAGAGAAGAAATGAAAGCAGTATCATTCGTCCCTTCTCCCATTTTTTATATATTACTTTCCTCCTAAAATAAGAATTTATACGTACTTCCTGTGGCCTTTCTGTGTACCTCTTTACTTTTTCTTGTACTTTGTTTTGGCTTTTTCGTGGAGGGGGAATTAAAAGTGAGCCTTGAAGGGGTGGAGGTTGATGGGGGATGAGGCTGGAGAAGGAGATTATAGCCGGACAGAGAAGGGCCTTCATACCAAGCTAGAGTTGGAAGGTTATCTTCAGAATATCATAGAGCTAACGAGGCTTTTAAAGCAAGAATGTACCACTTTTTTAAGACTGTAATATTTTTTATTAACTCATCGGGAAGGTTCCTGAAATCCCATCCTCCTGGCCTCTCACCCTAATGACTAGAGTAGCAGAGGATGGTCCTAGCCACATTTCCATCTATCTTATCGTTATCTCTAATGTCTTGAATAAGGTAGGAGAATCTAACCAACTGTGTGCATTTATTGTGCTCTAACATCATATTGAAAACAAGAAACTATTGTTTTTTTTTTTGTGTGAGAAAGATCAGCACTGAGCTAACATCCGTGCTAATCCTCCTCTTTTTGCTGAGGAAGACCGGCTCTGAGCTAACATCTATTGCCAATCCTCCTCCTTTTTTCCCCTTTTTCTCCCCAAAGCCCCAGTAGATAGTTGTATGTCATAGTTGCGCATCCTTCTAGTTGCCGTACGTGGGATGCGGCCTCAGCATGGCTGGAGAAGCCGTGCGTCGGTGCGCGCCCGGGATCCAAACCCAGGCCACCAGTAGCGGAGCGCACACACTTAACCACTAAGCCATGGGGCCAGCCCAAGAAACTATTTTCTTACACAGAAGTTCTCTCTAGAGGAAGGGAAAATGGAGGACTGACTTGTTGAACATCTGCTGAGAGCAAGTGCTTTTCATATCTAATCTCATGTAATTGTCACAAACACGCTGCGAATTGCAGCTCACGAGCCTCCTTTCACAGATGAGGAAACCGAGGAGGTTAAGCAAGGGCACACAGCCGGTATTGGAGAAGTGGCGTGTGACCCACTGTGAGCCAGTATACTGCCCCAGCCACCAGCTTACCTCTGATGATATGCCCCAGATCTGACATGACGTTTGTTCAGAAATAAAACAGTATTGTGGCAAAAAAAAGAGTGTGATATTTTTAAAATTTTTATTATGAAATATTTCAAGCATATAAGAAGTTATGAATGGGCCGGCCCCGTGGCTTAGCGGTTAAGTGCGCGGGCTCTGCTCCTGGCAGCCCGGGTTCAGATCCCGGGTGTGCACTAACGCACCACTTGTCCGGCCATGCTGAGGCCGTGTCCCACATACAGCAACTAGAAAGATGTGCAACTATGACATACAACTATCTACTGGGGCTTTGGGGGGAAAAAAAAGGAGGAGGATTGGCAATAGATGTTAGCTCAGAGCCGGTCTTCCTCAGCAAAAAAAGAGGAGGATTAGCACAGATGTTAGCTTAGGGCTGATCTTCCCCACACACACACAAAAAAAAGAAGTTATGAAGAGTAATGTAATGAACCCCATATATCTGTCACCTAGCTTTAAAAAAAAAAAAAAAATATACTTAAGGCCCCTGGCAGACCTTCCCTAATCCCGGCCTCCGTTCTTCTCTCTCTCATAGAATTTGCCATAATCCTGAATTTCGTGTTTATTAATTCTGTGTACTTCTTTCTACATTTACTATGTATTTATCCCTAAACAACATATAGTATTATTTTACGTGTCTCAAATATGTTTATGAGACATTTGGAAATTTGAACAGTTACTGGATATTTGATATTAAGAAAATAACTTTTAAGTGTGATAATGATGTAGTTATGTTAAAATCATTATCTTTTAGAGGTAGTGAAATATTTACAAATAAAATACGATGTCTGGGCTTTCCTTCAAAATAACAAGGAGAAAGAAAAGTGGATGGGGTAAAGATGCAAAGTTGGTCATGAATTGAGTCAATAATAATTGAAGCTGGGTGATGGGTCTATTTGGGGTTCAGTATACTATTATGTCTACTTTCATTATATGTTTGGAACTCTTTATAAACAGTAAAGCAAAACCAGAAAATATATATATATAAATGATATGTGTGTTTTGGTAACGTGGTTTTGTTGTTATTTTTGTTCAACATTATGTTTATAATATTTATCTTTGTTAATATGTTTACCTCTAGCTCATTATTTTTTGTGTGGTATTCCATTGAATGAATACAACCACATGTTTAAAAATCAGTTTTTTTCTTGGTGGATGTTTAGGTGGAACATATATATACACATATATCTTTATGCCTATTGGTTATATATATTCCCCCAAGGGTATACACTCAGAAGTAGAATTGCTGTGTCTTACGTAGTATGTGCACTTTCAAAAATATTAAGTATTGCCAACTTTTTTTCCAAAGTGGTTGTTATGGAGTTATACTTTCACCAGCAGTGAATGAAGGTTCCCACTGTTCCCTGTCCTTCCCAGCACAGGTGGTATCAGATTGTTACGTTTTTTGCCAGTCTAATGAGGATGAGGTTTTATCTCATTCTGGTCTGATTTATTTTTTTAGGGATAGATGTGGAAAGAGAATGACTCTGAGGGATTAGGTAATCTAACAAGGAAGATAGACATCTTGAGATAAGAAAATGAGTTTGCTCCAGGACATTTAGATTGAAAGAACCATTTGGAGATACCGAGCAGACAGGAAGAAATGTGAGTCTGGAGCTCTGAAGAGATTTGAGAGTCAGTGGCACCTCAAACCTCGAGAATGGACGAGGTCTGCTAGTAGGAGTATATTAAGTGAGGGCCACTCACGGAACCTTGGAAGACACCAGCAATTACAAGGGCAAGGAAGGAAATGCTGGCAAAGGAGACTGGTCCAAAGGTGGAGGACGCCCAGGACTTCCTAACCCTGAAAACCAAGGGAAGATAATTTCTTCAACCTTGTCAGCGTAACCAAACAATATAAAAGAAACCAAAAATAGGACTTTGGATTTGGCAATCAGAAGGTCATTAGTGACTTTAGGGAGAGTGTTTTCAATCATTTCGTCTGAAAACCGAAATTTTAGTGATTGAAAACTGAATAGCAAGTAAGGAATTAGAAATAATAAGTATATTGGGGCCGGCCCCGTGGCTTAGCGCTTAAGTGCGCGCGCTCTGCTGCTGGCGGCCCAGGTTCGGATCCCGGGCACGCACAGATGCACCGCTTCTCCC